GAATAAAATCTTAAAAAAAAAAAAAGAAAAATGAGTAACGAATATTTTTGATACTTGGCATTGCTAAATTCTGTGACCGTAATAACAGACTGTCCTTTAAGAAAGTAGAGTAGCTGCCATCTTTCTGCAGACGCAACAAATGGAGGGTGAAGGAGATCTACGTGACGAGGTCATGTCTCCTCTCTCTCCCTTTATAAATGTAGCACAATCATGGTTTAATGGTATAAAATGATCTGTCCAGCACTAAAAAACAAAACTAAAAGGGCTTCATTTTTTTTTTTTTTAAGATTTTATTTACCTATTTAACACAGAGAGAGAGATAGAGAGCACAAGCAGGGGGAGTGGAAGAGAGAGAAGCAGGCTTCCCACCAAGCAGGTAGCCTGACTTGGGGCTCGATCCCAGGACCCTGGGACCATGACCTGAACTGAAGGCAGATGCTTAACCGACTGAGCCACCCAGGCACCCTGGAAAAGGGCTTCTTTAAAGAAATCTGACACACACAAAATATGCAAAATCACAATTTCTCTATCTCCAAGACGAGTTAATTGTTAAAATTGCTTGGCTCTGTTTCTAAACATATCTAATAACTGGAATTGGTAGTCAAATTAACAATGTCTTATCCTTGAGTTGAAGCACCTTCATAACAAAAAACAGTACAGGTCTTTATGAAACACGTGAGAACTTACTTCTTTTTCAAGACTTTTTTTACCCAGTCGGTTTAATCAAACTGATGAAAATACTGTTTTGGCAAAAAAAAAAAAAAATTTTTTTTTAAGAGTGGCAATGTTCAAAATCTAACCTTTATCTATGTGACTCATGATTTTGAATAGAATAATTACACCTAGCAACAAAACTGAAATACTCCTTGTGATAGCAGATTAGTAACTGAATAAACACTCCGAAGACACTAATTCACTAGGATGTGACTTATAATGTAATGTAATCTTTATCACATCTAAACTTTTAAAATTTGTTTAGAAGGTAGTGAGCCCTCAGTGCCCGTACCCTCCTTTATCTAGACGTAACAGCAGCTCCTGAGGAATTAAGAATTCGAACTTGAGACCCAAGTTTACACAATTCAATGTCTGGTGGGCCCTCAGGCTAAGTGAAAAATCTGAGCACACTGCGCTGCGCAGCTTAGCCTGTTTCCATGCAAATGCTCGCGGAGGACATTGTAACTCTAGACATGAAAACGTCCAATGCACTGGAAAATAAAAACAAAAAACATGTCCTTTTTCAAAGCAGAGCAATTTGAAATAGGAAAAAAACCAAAAAACGAAAAAACAAACCCTGAAGAGAAACTTCAATCGAAACATCAAGTCCATTAGTACTCACCTCTGAAACTCTGAAGCTAGATACTCTGCTAACGTCTCTGTGAAATGTGTACCTCCGATGTTATCATCAGTGTTTGTCGAAAGAACACGATATATTCCACTGTTCACTTCCATGACGCTGACAGATAAGGATGTTCCTCCAAGTTTAAACACCAAGATATTGCTTAAAAGAAAAATAACATGAGTAAGTTATAAGGGAATCACACTGTTTTAAAGGTAGGTTGGACATTAGAAGTAACTTAGTTTAACCCCTAATCATAATAAGGAATCTGAAAATCTCACATGAGTCAACTTAGTTGTCCATGGTCATCACTTAGTGCTGAATTAAGCCTAGAACCCAGATCTTCTGATTCGAAGTCAAAGTTTGTTTTTACTTAGTTGTACTGGTAAAATTGGATTTTTCTGAGTAAGCAGAGTTCAAAACACTAACTTTTCTTTTCTTTTTTAATTCCAGTATAATTAACATACAGTGCAAGACACTAACCTTTCCAAGTAGATTATGATTATAACGAATCATAAGAGAATTAAACATAGAAATTTTATATGCTAATATTAACAAAGTACTACAATAACACATTCTATAAAAATCAAACATATGCAAAACTAGAAGCTAATTTCTGATTTCTACATTTATCTAGTTCACCTAAAACTGATTTCCGACTGATTTAAACATATTAGTTTTTTTTAAGCTGTGAGATATGAACAAGGGAAACTAGGGGAAATTAACACATCTGTATTAATCTCCCTAAAAGTGCCTGTGTCAGCTCTACTAAGACAAGTTTTGACAACTAAATTAGGAGTATGTCTTACTATTTCATTATCAAAAGATGTCTTAAATCCTATGCTGGACTTTCCCCCATCTCCTGACAAGAAAAATGTATATAAAAGTACTATTTCTAGGGCGCCTGGGTGGCTCAGTTGGTTAAGCGACTGCCTTCGGCTCAGGTCATGATCCTGGAGTCCCGGGATTGAGTCCCGCATCGGGCTCCCAGCTCAGCAGGGAGCCTGCTTCTCCCTCTGACCCTCTCCTCTCTCATGCTGTTTCTCTCTCGCTTGCTCTCCAATAAATAAATAAATAAAATCTTTAAAAAAAAAAATTAAAAAAAAGTACTATTTCTAAACATGTTTAATAATTGGAATTGATAGAAAAATTAACAGTGCCCTAGCCTGAGCTAGAATTTGGTCAGGCTTGTAAATTTCAAATCTTCCTCCAAGAAAGAAAGGTAACATGAGTGATAAGAGAAGGGCAGGGAAGCTCAATCTTCCCTCTCCTTATGTCCTTTCTCTGCTCTCCCAGGATGTCTTTTTCAACTATTTGAAAATCTCCAGGTGAGTTTCAGCATCTTTTTATTCATAAAGGCCTTATATAACAATCCCTACTGATGTAAGTGTGGTAATCTACAATGTTTTCTGCACCGAAAACCTTAAAGCTACAAATATGGTTTTTACCTTTTTCCAGTGGGGCAGTCTTGTCCAATTCCATAAGCCAGAAGAGCTGCAGATGGTTCATGGATTAACCGCAAAACATTAAACCCAGCAGCTCTGGCTGCTTCCCTGTGGACGATTTGCTTTCAATGAATTTACTATCACAACATGTTCAAGTATTTTCTTGACAAAGAAAATAACGTGTGCATATACTAAGTAAGGAAAAGGAAAGCTCTCAAAAATGTCCGTGCTTATAAACTTCAGAAAGATATTAAAACAAACTTATAATACATTTTGGAACTTTCCGGTTTCTTTAACTCAGGGTCACAGTTTTAACATCTCACAAGTTCAAGTAAATAATGCAATTATCTGTCCCAGAAGCAACTCAGATACTTGCCAAAGTCCCATGTGAAACTCTACCCTCAAGGCAAAGGCATGCATGCTCGTGAATTACATTTGCATAATGACCCATAAAAACTAAACCCAACTTTTTGTTTAGATGTGAAGATCTAAGGTGAAGAAATTATTGCAAATATTTTCATTGCAAAAAACTGTATATTTTTATATAATTCCCACATAAACCTTGATTGCATGAAACTAAGGCAAAACAATCTATAAACATCAACTTAACCTGGTAATTAAAAACATTTCCAATCGAAACAGCTAATAAGGTAGATATAATTTTATGTTCTCTTGGCATTTCATAAAAGACAGGAAACATTAATGATCATTACTAGACTTTTTTACCATACTACTTACATATGTAAATATATACATGTTTACAAATACAACTTTATTGCCTAAGGTATCTTCAAATACAATTTTACCTTTTACTACATTATAATATTATGAAATCTATATTTCCTTTAAGCAAATAAGATAAACTTACCCAAGAGCATTTTTTTGCTTTTCTCCAAAATCAAATGGAACAGTAATAACTACATCATTTGCATCTGAGCCCAATACAGAATGTGCTGTTTCTGTGTATAAAAAAATATAAATATAAATTCCAATGACAAAAAAAAATATTGTGATATTTTGCAGTTTATTAATTTGTGCCAGTGATCTTCTCACTGTAAAGATTTTCCAGTTTACCTGATTGCCCACCCCACTCATTTTCTTCTCTGGCTCTCTTAAATCATGCAGAACTTTTTGTGGTTTTGGAAGTTTGTGGACATGGAACTAGGTACTTTCCAAAAAGCCTGGCTCTTAGGCTTCAAAACTTCAACTACCTCCCAAACTAGACTGGTTCCATTAAGAATGAGCTTCTAATGCATCAATGTGAAGACAAGAAGCATGTTAGTTCAGGCACATTAAAAGGCTGCCTTCCATCCCACAAATTCATTAACATAATTCCAGAACTGAAGTAAGCCTTATAGATAATCTACTCCAGAATTTCCCAAACTGTTCCACAGCATGCCACTCAGCTTCGAGCCTTCATCGGAAGTGGTGATAAGCCAGACCTGCTTAATCTGCCTAAATAACTGTTCAAAGAGCACTGCTAATCTTGAGCAGAGAGATAAAATATTCACTCTTCATCAAACTTATTTGGCCACTTCAATTTGAGAAGCTGTGAAAATGCTAACCTGGCCCAACTCATTAACATTTCTTCTAAGGAAACCAAAGTCGGGAAGGAAGTCAGTTAAGGTCACACGGCCGGGTAGCGGCCCAGTCAGGTCTAGTATTAGACAATTCACCCTGCTTCTCTCCAGATCAAGAAACACCTCTTTTTTTTTAAAAAGATTTTATTTATTTATTTATTTATTTATTTATTTATTTATTTATTTATTTATTTAAGAGAGAAACAGCATGAGAGGGGAGAGGATCAGGGGGAGAAGCAGGCTCCCCGCTGAGCCAGGAGCCCGATGTGGGACTCGATCCCAGGATTCCAGGATCATGACCTGAGCCGAAGGCAGTCGCTTAACCAACTGAGCCACCCAGGCACCCTCACCTCTAACTTTCTTTTAAGGTCAACTTTTAAAAGATCTGTTGCTCAATACCTTTCATCTTACTAAATATCAGTCTGGCAACATCTTCTGGGTTAACAAACTTTGTTCCTTCTCCAGTATCTACTTCGTATCGTAACTTTCCATTTTTTTCAATGACCTATAAAGGAAATTGTAAGTGTGTTAAATGAGGAATAATTTTAATAAAAATACAAAGTTTCAAAATAATAGAATAGGTTATGACCTTGGCAATTACTTTGTGTAATGAAGAGGTAATAATAGAATCATACTCACTAAACATTTACTTTCCGTGATGTATTTCTGAGCCTGTGGATCATCAGAGCTGTCCATAAAGATAAAGATAGTTAAATATTAAAATCAGTATTGTTGATGTGTAATAAAGACTATATTTTTCAATACCACTAAACAAATGTAAAAATACAATTATTAAGTTGCTTAATATTAATAAATCATGATATAGAGAATAGAATTAAATGGATACAGTATTTACAATGGTTATAGTGATTCTATTAAAGTGTTAATCTTCACATTTGAAAAGTAAATAGCTCTTATTTGTTCTGATCTTGCTATTAAGAGATGCCATACATCTGGGGGGTCATTTTTCCTAGTATCAGTGATTTTATGTCATGTTCTCTCTCATCTATGATCTTGAAGACCCAATCACTGAGATGAAAAGGGCAAAAAAAAAAGATTCCAAAGTAAGGGCAAACCAGAATACCTAACACCATCTTTGTTTCTTGGCTTCTGAACATGAACCAACACCCGAAGTCAAAAAAACTGAGAAGTACGTATGTTATATATGGAAAGGTGCAATATACTGCAGATCGATGGATCTATAATGTCCTATATCAAAGTAGTAAATGTGTATGGCAATGAAAAAATTAACAATGGGTGTAATGTTGCTCAAAATACCAATTTGCACAGACTACAAAATGTTCTTATCTATTATTACCTCAATCTTCACAACTGCTAAGTGGGGTTAATTTGGCAGGTTATTATTTTAGAGATAAGGGGTTCATAGAGAATCAATGATTTATAAGCTAACAAGGGGCAGGGTCAGTACCCAGTCTTCTCTAGCAGGGTAGTGTTTTTTGCATTTTACCAGCTGCCTCCCAGTAAGAAGGTAAACAACTAAAGTACTTCTGCCCCTTTGAGCAGTGATAGGAGTCTTTGATCCTTGGCTTAATTTCATCTAGAAATTAAAGTAAACCCTTCCGGTCAACTCTTCTTCCAAGGTGAAATAGCTATTTCATTCAGAGATCAGTTTTAATAAGAGGAGTTGAAAATTAATAGTGACTATCTGCTGCAGTTACTGAACATCTGAGGACCCTAACCTGTGTAAATAAGAGGAAGACAAAAGGAGTTTAAGATGAACTAATGCGGCTCAGAAATCTGTCTAGAACACTTGAGGATTCCTCATACTTCCTTCTCCATTACCTAATAATTGATAGGCAAACAGGTAAGGAGCTTGCCCAAAGTCACATGGTTAATTCATGGCAGAATGGATTGGAATCCAGATCTTTAATACAAAGTGCAGTATTCTTTTCACCTAAGCTTTCCCCCCCTTCCTTCCTGTCTCTAAATCCAATCTATAGACTACATCCTGCACAACTATTTTAAGAGTAAGAAAAAAGATGAAGTCTGCCCATAGTAATTTTTTTGCACCAATATAATTTCAGCATGACACTTACCAGTTGTTTTCTTCAGAACAGAATTTTAGTCAACCAGGACAATTTACCCTGTTATCTACAAACTATCTGTGAGCTATCTAAGACCAGATAATTTGCCAGGAAAGCCTGTATTAGGGAATTTAAATAACTTTTAGAAATGGAGAATTATTTCTCAACTGCCCTGCAAAGGGGCCCTTCTCATGTAAGGACAGGAAGCACACAAAGCTCTTAGGGCCATATACAGGCAGGACCCTGGAGATTAGCTAGTAAGAAAAAGCAAGCAGAGTGTGGAGGTGACGACAAATGGTCATAGATATCGCCAGAAAGCAGTGGACTGACCCACAAGTACATACAAGTAAAAACTTTATTTGTTCACACCAGGATTAAATCATGTAACAGAAACACAAAGGACGGTGGGAAGTTGGCATACACAGCACCTCATTTACATCATGGTCGTTAGGAGGCAGTGTTAATCCCACCACTGTATCACCACCTCTACAAGCAACGCTACTTCCTCTTCCTCGTCCTTCCTTAAAGGTCTCTTGTACCGAAAGCAGGCTGTGGGACCTGGCACACGGCAGCACTAACGTGCCCCAGGGTCTTCTTCCCCGTTCCTGTCACAACACAGTGCCTTCCGTGTCTGAAAGTATTTTTACATTCATCTGTTCATTTGGCCCTCACAACATTCCTGGGAGGTAGGTAGGAGCGTTACTGGTTTAGGTGGTGAGGTGAGGACCTGAGTCACAGAATGGTAAAATGACCTGCCAAAGGACGGGCAGGGACAAATGGCTGGGCCTAGAGCTTAGGCAGGATTTCTGAGCTTGTTCTCACTCACATGGCCTCCTCTTAACAATATTTCGCCTCTTTATCTGTTTATTTCATTAGGAACTTTCCCTTTAATTTTATTCTCACATTAACGTTATTTCACCCAAAAGATTTTCGCAATACTACCTTCCGAGTTTAACTCCACTTTTGTTCTTTTAGCACTTCTCCTATCTCAAATAAATCCCTGCCTATGCACTTTGCTACCCTTAATAGAATATAGTACAGGTCTAACTCTTCTTCAAGTACTTCCCTGTTTTTCCAGAAAGTCTACGTATCTACATTAGTGTTATCCAGTTATAAATGACACAGATCCCTCCATATAAAGGCCTAAAACAATTGAGAAAATGCACATATATAGATATATATCCATTTCACTGCCTTAATATATGCTTCTTTAAAGCAAGGAACCTTTGTATGGTGTGGTGCTTATTTAAGCTGAGTATATTAATAAATATTAATACCACAGAATGCTTCCTTAAAATACAATTGTTACCACTAATTCAAACATACAGTGTGTGGCTGTGACTGAAAACATTGCAATTAAAATTTCACTTTGCCTGTGTTATGCTTATCACAGAATTTTTTTTTAGAACTGGAAGGTATTAGAAAAGTCATCTAGTACAAATCTCTCATTTTAAAGAAACTGAGGCACAAAAAGGGCAAGTCATCTGCCCGACGTAACAAACTGCGACAGGGATAGAACCCAGTTCTAACTGGAGTCCAGTGTGTTCTACCAAACCAGCTGCTCTCTACATTCACCACCCGTTCATCAGGGCAGCTTGCGTGCTTGCCATCTATTCATGGTTCCAGGTATATTCCCACTGGTGTTTTGACTACTTCTCTACCTATCTATATTGCCGGCTTTTAGGTAAGCACCCAAGCCTACAAAATGTAAAACAAAATCTCCTTAAACATGCCCGCACTTGTTTTATTTATTTTTTTTAGCCTGTAGACTGGAGGAAAGCCTTTTAAATTCCAAGGCTCCTATTTGTATTTCCTGAAAGTACTAAGTAAACCACTTAAAAGCTTTAAGTTAGTTTAAGATGGCCAGTAATGGCATTCCTTCTAAAGTAAACTGAAAGTATGGCTCAACACCTTCGTATCTCCTAGAGGAAGTGTGTATATTTTGGGGGGAAAGGGGGTGTGTTTGTTGAGGGCTTTGTGCTTAAAAGGAGTTATCTACTGCAGGCCGTCTTTATCCACAACATCCTCAATCGTTCCCAAAGCTGTCCTCTTCCACCATGTGCCATTAACAAAGTGAACATCTGTCTACAGAATATGAGGAAAAAGTGACTTCAGAAAGTTCCCTAGAAGGAAAGTTTTCTAAGGCTTGCCTTCTGTAACATACGAGACAGAAAAAAAAGGCTAACAGAAAAGAAAGTAGCTAAAAGCATTTGGAAAACAGATTCTAAATTGTTTCCACGTGTTGTTCAAATGACACCCAACCTAAAGATATGTAATTATGCATATAAAGGGACCCAAATGATATGGAATGCAAAGAATTTGCTTACATTTAATATTTTATAAAACAGCCAATACCTCATTATATTGAAGATTATCAATATGAATCAAAACACACAACTGTGGCTCCCTGTCCGTTCTGAATTATATCCTTATAGTGATAAGACACCAAGAACTAGTAAAATGGAGAGAATGACGGTTTGACCATTGAGTGCTTACTAGTAGGTGTGTCATAGACACAGCAGTGAAAACATAAGAGATAAAAGTACAAATCCGTGGATCTACCTTAGTCTAATGAGCTATATAGAGGAATTAAAAAAATGAAGATCTTACAAGAAGCAGTCAAGTTAAACTAGTGAAGATTCAAGCAATGAGGTCATCGTATACACCACAATTCTCTATCTTGTCAACTAATGTGCCTCACCCTAGCCTTACCTTGGCCAAGGTCGTATACATTAATAACTTACACGGGTACAGTGTGTAGTGCTTTCAAACTTCTAAACCCTTTCACATCTATTAGCCATTTGATCCTCACAACAACCCTGTGAGGTAGGCAGGTCAGGAGTTACCACCTAGCCCCCATTTTACAGATGAGGAAACCGGTGTAGAGGGAAACTCAACTGCCTCGCTTCAGTGGGAAAGCCACAGCTCAGCTCTCTGGACTCGGCTCCACCTGTTTTCTATTAGACCACTCCTCACACATCCCAGAGGTCTTTCCATTAGTGGAGAAGCTTGGGAAAAGCAACTAGCACGGATCTTCCTGCCACTCTGCGTATTAACGGTTCATCCACTCTTTTTTCCCGAAGGACCTGTAAAAGGAGCCAGGGTGCCAAGAGGCAGGTGTTGGAACTGGGCTTCTACCAGTTTAGGAAGGAGACTCTTTTGTAATCAATTCCTAACTTTTGGTATTTGAAATTAGCCTCTGAAGCAATTTTTCAAGCCCTAGCTGAAAAGCACCGGTGGCCTCTTCGACTGCTGTTGCCAAGCGTCTGACTGCGATCACAGCATCCCTGCGGAGCTCGTTGGCAGTGTCTTGCTGAGCACTGGCCTCCTCACCAATAGCAATCAGCCTGTCCAACTTTTCTTCCTCACGCTTTGAAAGTTCTCGTGCCAACCTCCTGTTTTCTGCCAACTCAGCTGCAATAGTCCTGGCCACTGACCGCCTTCTTCGCCTTGCCCACCTTGGAGGGGGCTCACTGGTCAAAGGCCTATCCCCACCAGAAACAAAAGGAACTCTGGAGGAGACGACCGGAGGCCGCTGTGTGGAGGCCACCCCAGGAGTGTTTCGGCTGGTACTGGCGCAGGGACTGGGCTCACCGGACACAGCCAGTCTGGTCATGGGACTGCTCTGACAGGGAGCAACTGCACCTCTGAAAAGGTGGTGGGAACTGCTGTAGCTGGGGGTCCCTTGAGAGCACCCTGAAAAACAAAGCAACAATGTTGCAAAGAGGACATTCCTGCCAAGGGAATGCTTGGAGCCAGCAGCGGAGCTGAGAGACAATCACAAAATTCTGGTAGTTCCTGGAAAGCCCTCTTTCCACAAGGGGCTGGGAAGATTTCAATTCCTTGATCTGGACACTTCAGCCGACTGTAATCTTACCTCCAAAACCTCCCCGCTGCCTTCCTGAACCCGTTTCCATGTGGCCACCAACCCAATCTCTATTCACACATTCCTAAGAACCCACTAAAAATAATGCCAAAACGAGTTTGGTTCTAAAGAGTACTTCTTGGAGCGCCTGGGTGGCTCAGTTGTTAAGCGTCTGCCTTCGGCTCAGGTCATGATCCCAGGGTCGGGCTCCCTGCTTGGTGGGAAGCCTGCTTCTCCCTCTCCCACTCCCCCTGCTTGTGTTCCTGCTCTCTGCTGTCTCTCTGTCAAAAAAAAAAAAAAAAAAAAAAACCTTAAAAAAAAAAAGACTACGTCTTCCACATTTAAGAAGTTCTAATACCTTATATACCTAGGGTCATTGCTTTTGAAGACCTGGAGCGCTTTCTTAGCAGCAGGCTCAGAAAACAGAGGGCATGGGGCAGAAACAGAGACAATGTTGAAGAGAACACCATCTAAACACATACTGCTGTTTAGAACCAAGTGACTCTGGCACCCCAGTCCTTCACATGCTTGGGAGTTACCTGCACCCGAGGATTCATCCCAGGAGTCCTCAAGGTCACTGGTTTCTCGCATCTGGTCACTGATTCTCAGTTGACAATCCTCATCTGATTCCTTAACTGTTTTCGAGACAGGCTGATGATGTGCTGCCTGAGTCCTGTTTGCTCTGAGAATGTTGGCTCCCCCTTCCCCTGGGGTGTCAGAGACCACTAAGTTCTGATCACAGTGCTTGGCCCAAGCAGCATCCTCCATTAAGTTGTCTGGGTCAGTCACTACCTGATTTCGGAGAAGCTGATCCAACGTATCATAAAATGGACAGTGTGGTGGATCACCCATACTCGTGGCATGGGCAACATACGCCTTTAAATATAACGCCTTCAGAACTTTAAACTTGGAGCGGCACTGACGTTCGGTGCGGCGGAAGCCTTCCTGCTGCATTCGCTTAGACACAGCCTGATAGACATCTGCATTATGATGCACAGTCTGGAGGCGCTGGATATACTCTGCCTCGCCTAGTATGGAGAGAAGAGTTCGAGTCTCCTGTCTGGACCACCGGATGCCCGCACTGCTATTGGAACTGGCCATAGTGGACTGGGAAGGAAGGCTAGCTGCAGGAAGCTCCTGGGCAGCAAGGTGCAAGTCTGAAGGTGTGGGGAGGCTCTGTGTGCTCTCAGTGTACTTCCAGGAGCCAGCCGATTCTTCCCTCTCGGGGCTAATTGTTGAGAAGCCAGGTCCAAGGACCGCATTTCTGGCTGGAAGGCCACAGGGGAATGAGAGTTACAGGGAGGGTGTAAGGATAATTGTGGCAGCAAGTTAAGTGGTGCTACCTGTGAGTAGGATGCCAAGACTAAGAAAGCCCAACCATGAGAGTTCGCCCAGGATAGGTACTGGACCAAGGGCTCAAAAGGGCCTTACCGGCTCAGTAAAAGGGGACTGGCTCCTCCACAAAAGAGAGAGTGCTTCTGAGGCCAAGACCTGGTACAACTGTATCTGTAAAAATCACCATTGTCTTGTAAGTAGACTGAGGGGGGAATATCTAGGCCATGAGACAGCTCACTCTAGAGAAGTGTCAGCAGGACCATGGTGGAACAGCAGGTCTGAAGAGCGCTCATCCTTTAACAGCCTTGGCCTCAGCAGCTTGCTGTGGCTACATATTACCATCTGACTGCCACCACTGCACTTTGTTAAAAGGTAACTTTTGGGGCCAGAAAAGTAAGCTTAAGTTGTTCCTGATAATACAAAGATTTTGTATGATATGGCAGAACACAACCATATCATCACTCTGATCATCTGCCCTAAAACAGCAACATAAAACAGGCTCCCAGGAGATAGATCTATGGCAATGTTCTGTATTTTGATTGTATCAATGTCAGTATCCTGGTTGTGATACTGTAGTTTCGCAAGATGTTACCATCCAGAGAAGGTGGTAAATCCAGTAGTATATTGGATCTCTCTGTATTATTTCTTATAACAGTATGTAAATTTACACTGATCCCAAAATAAAAAGTTTAATTGAAAAAACCTTGTATTATTGGCCGCTTATAGTGAATATAGTTCAAAGCCCATCTAGAGCTCCCTGCTTTATTAGAGATCTTAAAACTTGCAAATTTTTGACACCAACTAATTTATTTTCAACATGCTCAATACTCAGTTTGTTAACATAAATGGATAGGGGAGTATATTTATCATCATAAAAATTTAAATTCTCTCCAAAATACTATCATTTTTGACTTAGTGCATAAATACCCTAAGGAAAAAAAATAAATCAAGTTCAGTTTAACTAAATACAGGTAAGGGATAATAAAAAATATATGTAAGTATAAAAGAAATCAATATTAGATTTAATCCATAACCCCCAAATCCTAAGATCAACATGGGACATTTATACTTAAATTCTCAACTGAACAAAGCAAAAAGGGAAGAACGTGGGGCTAAAGGTTAGAAGTCCTGAACTATAGTCCTATCTAGCTCACCCCAACTAACTGAGCAATTCCGTAACTTCTATGTGCCTCAATCTGCTCATCTACAAATGGGGAGGAATAAAACCTGCCCTACAAATCTTTTAGGGATTTGAGAGGATTAAATAATAGATGTGAAAGCACTTTGAAAATTTAAAAACACTGTATCAAGTATTACTACTTCAGTGAAAATGAAAACCTCTAATTATTATGGTAATCTATAATTTGAGGAGACAGAAGTCTGGAAAAGGAAGCCTCTTTAATCTTTTAATTAAAGTTACAACAGATGATTAACCTGATTCTTACTTAAGATGTTAATTAAGCTGTTTCTCTAATGATTAAATTTGTAAGCCAACTGGAAAAGTTAGTTCCCAGAAAGTGTCACAAAAGGACCTGAGGAAGAAAATCAATAGCTTCTATATAAATTATGACCAATTGCAGCAGATTTTGCAAAATTCAACTATAGTGCAGAAAAATCTTCAAATTCCCACAAAATCTTCAAGTTCCCTCTGTCATATAAAAAGGTGAAAAGTCCAAATTACCACTTCCAAATGAAACATTATCAAACTATATGAATGTTGGCATTTATCAATAAAAACAGACCTCTGAGCAAAAAACAAATTATCTGAGTGAATCCCATCCTTGAGAAGATACAACACTAATCATCAAAAGAAAGAGCCTATTGGGATAATCTCTGAAATGATTCAATCATAAAAAGCAACAACAACAAAAAGACCAAACTGATCTTCCTAGCTTCATTTCACATTATGCTTAGAATATATGAACACACTTTATTTCCATATGTAAAAGTGTTATTTTATTCCATACCTTCTGCCAAGGATCTGCTTTACTTTCATTACTGTATTTGAAATATTTCTTATTCTACTTTGTTTTGCTGCCAATCCAACAACCTGAAAAACAGCAGCATATTACAATGCATGTAATTTTACTTATTTCAAAATATAAAAATGAGGGGAATAGTACCTCTTCATTTTCTGTGTAAGCAACAACAGCTGGAGTAACTCTGTCACCTGCATCATTTGCAACCACATCAGCCCGGCCATCCTGGAAAAAAAATACACAACTATATTAGGTCTCTTGAGAAAAAAAAAAAAGAAAAAAAAATACGTATCCACACACAAACACACACACAGATATACAGTCTCATCAGACATGTGGGCCAGTGTTACCTTGCCATACCTGTAAGAAAACCACTTTATCAGTATTTTAAACTTGCAGATTTAATTGCCATTATTAATTTCCTAGATTTTATATAAGGTCAACAATCCACAAACTGCCTCATTTTTTCAATCTGCTCTGCATAGTCAATAATTGGATCAAACATAAAAACCTTCCTGTATACAATAATAACACTTATTACATCACCCTTTCCAGTTTTCTTTCTTCCCTGACAAATACATCTTTCTTTCTTCCTTTTTCTACGTATGATGAAGTAGCATTAAATCCCTTTGGTTTTTCCTTCCAAATCACTTGACATTTAAATGCAAGACTAATATCAGGGGAGTTCATTATTATTGTTCCTTCCGCCTCCCTCCTGATGAGCAGACTACAATTCCTTGTTAAGCTCTTGCATTCAAGAAAGGTCAAGTCAGTAAGAGCGTGCACCACCAACTCGCTTCACGCGCTTCGCGGGATTAACAACTCCAGTTCCAGATCTCGACCACCAGGTCCTTCCCTGGCAAACATTCAAAAACCTCCGGGTCGGGACGTTCCGGCCCACCTCCCCGCCTCCAGCGGCCCTGCCGTTCCCCGGGACCGCCCCCTCCCGGCGTCCAGCGCCCACGAGGTCCTCGAGGCCCCTCCAGCCCTCCTGTAGCTCTGACGTCCCCGAGACCTCCCAGGCCTCCTGCTGCCCTGACATCCCCCGGACCGCCCCTCTTCGGGCGTCCAGCGCCCACGAGGTCCTCGAGACCTCTCCGGGCCTCCCGCGGCCCTGATGTCCCCGAGACCCTCCAGGCCTCCTGCTGCCCTGACGTCCCCGGGACCGCCCGACTCCGAGCCTCCAGTGCCCACGACATCTCCGAGATCCCTCTGGGCCTCCAGAGGCCCTGACGTCCCCAGGACCGCCCCCCTCCAGGCTCCCTGCGGCCCGGACGTTCCCGGACCCCGCCGGCCCGCGTCGTCACGACCCTCCGTCCGAGCACAGCAGGCTTTCCGGAGGAGCTGCGGAGAACCAGGCTGGGTCCGCCCGGCCCTTTGCCTCCAAACTTCCCCGCAATAATGCCTTTCCGCACGACATTCCTAGGCCGGCGACAA